CGCTCTTCCAAAATTATTTAATGTCTGTCTTTCATTCTCACCCAGGACTTAAACTCCTGACCTCCTTAGGTTCCTGTCACTAACTTTGTGACTACATGTCATCAGCTCCTCCTGTCTGAACGTCAGGCAATTAAGCTGCTGCTTATCCTTACTCAAAAATTCTTCACTAAGGAAAAAAAAATGCTTGAATTACCAGTTATATTCTTCACCACCCATCTATGGAACTTGGGCAGAAGGGGAAAACTGGTTAATACGAGTTGAGTCAGAGATGCAGGCAAGCTTATCTCTAGTTAATCTCACCTTGGCAGAAGAAAAACAGCTGTCAGTAAGACCCACCTGGAGTCAAAATCTGAGTCTTCTGTCCTTTGAGCAGTTTCTGAACCCGAAGTAGCTGCAATGAGTTCTCTCTCTTACAAATGACGTCTTGGACCCACTGAGATACCCCAGAAACAGATTTCATGGCCTCTGAAATTACAGCAGCATATTCTGAGATTATCGCAAATGAGTATGTATTACGCCTTATCTATCTTGCTGTGAAAAGATAAGATGAACTTAAGAAGCAAATGCTTTAAACCAAGCATCAACAACAGATTTATTCAGTAATTTCATCAGGAGATTGGACTAGATGACCTCCGGAGGCCTCTCTCCAACCAACACTTCTGCAGTTCTAGAAAACATTGACTTGCCAATGAAACATTAGACAGAGGAATAATTTCCTGGATTTGGAAGCAAAGACAGGAAAAGTGCCCCACAAGTGGTGTTAACTGCTAGTAGATATGGTATGAAGGACATGAATTACCCTAGAAAATTGAGGCACATGACCAACAGAGTCATATAAGGGTTTGGGTTGGAAGGAACCTTTAAAGCTCATCTAGTCCAACCCTTCTGCCATGGGCAGAAACATTTTTCACTAGATCAGGTTGCTCAAAGCCCTGTCCAACCTGACCTTGAACACTTCCAGTGACAGGGCATTGACAACTTCCCTGGGCAACCTGTTCCAGTGTCTCACCACCCTCATCATAAAAACTAGAGCTGCCATTTCTCACACCTAACCCCTAGGCTACTTCCCCAGTCAGTTACTCTACATTTTTATTCCCAGTGTGTTCTCAGAGACATCTTCATCAAGATGGAAAAGGGAAACAGTAATCCACTAGAACCCCAGAAAGATTTTTCTCCCTGTGGAAGCAGACAGAAGACGAGAACCAAAGTATTATTAGCAAGGAGGCTAACACTGATCCAAGTGCCAGCATCTACGGGTGCAACCATACTTGCAAGTTTCTGGTATTCAGTGCTGTCTGGGCTGGTGTTCTCCAGCAGGTCTCTGAGGAAATGCTTGTACCTAAAACACAGAGAGCAGGTTTATTTCACAAAAAGATACCAGGAACAGCAGCATCTCCTATTAGTGACAGAATGATGAACAACACTCCACCAGGAGATGGAATACACACCAAGGTCTAACCAAGCGGCTGTTGGTCACAATTCTTCAATCACATTCATTTTACCTTCAAATTTATCAACTAAAGTAACTCAAGTATGTTATACATTGGGAAGCTTTTGGCATTTCCTGGAGATCTGACAAAAGCAACCTCACATATTACTTAAGTTCATGAGACTCTTAGCATTCACATAAAAATGCCTTCAATAACAGACAAACTTCTCTTTGAACAATTTTTTTTTTTTTTTAATATCTGAATGGTAGCATTCATACCGTATGTTTCCTACCCACACAAGAAAATAAAGGCATTTTATAGGAACTAGGAGCCGCCTTTTAATTTTTTCCTCTCCAAGTCTTCACTGGAAAGGATCAGATCTCCATAAACGCTTTCTCCCAATAAAGTCAAACTGTTTTCAGTCTGAAATAACAGAAGAAATATCACATTGAAAAGATTCACGAACTGGCAGAAGTCACATGACCTGCAGTATATGTAACAGAGTTTCAAAGAAACTTGAACATGAAAGACCTTATTAATGAAAAAATTAGACCTTCTGTTAAAAAGCCACTATTTTTCCAAAGAGTTGGACAGCAACAAATACACTGCAGTTTAACAAATTTAAAGGAACGATCCAGAGAATTACAGCAAAAAGAAAGCTTATGTTTATTTCTGCCGAGCTAAAAAGGTTACATAAAGCTACCTGAAAGACTATGGTATGCTCACTCCGATTTATTTTCAAAGAAACGAGGCTCTCAATCTCTCAAATTTGCTTTAGTGTGGATAAGACCATGGCTGAAGAGCAGCTACTTGATCTACAGCAGCAGCAGCTGGGTTCCCAGCAAACTACCTGTGCTCTGTATTACCCACATACCCACTCCCCGAGCAAGGGCAGCCCTTGAGTGCATGCAGCGCTCGCCTCGTGTGGTCAGCCTGCCTCTTCAGAGGAGAGATGATCATAGACTCATAGAATCATAGAATCGCCTTGGTTGGAAAAGACCTTTAAGATGCCTCAAGGGGGAATGCAGCAACCCAGACCGGATCTCTCCAGGCTCACACAACTGCGGTAGGCCCCAAATCTGGGGAAAGCATATGGCCCTGATAACCAGAGAGGGGAGAAAAGCTCCCCCGCGTTCATTCATCTCATGTCTCTCCAAAAGCAGCCATCTACAAGAGAGGAGAGTCACAATGCTCCGGGTCAGCAACCCGCACAAAAGTGGAGCAAGACCATCTCTGGCAGACAGCATCACTCTGCAGCACTTCAGACAGCGGGCTTTTGTTCAGGGCCTAACTTCAGTAGCTTATTGAGATGATAGAAAGCTTCCACTTCAATTCCACCCAAGAGCTAGGTGAAGGGCTTAGGAGCCACGGCTAAACACAGCTACTTCTCTGCATCATCTCCCATCCATGTACACTGATTCCACCCTACAGGCAGGTCTTTAGGTCTGTTTCATTGCCATCCATATGCTCTGATTTTGAGACACGTTAAGCAGCTTTACCTCCTATAGCAACCAAGACACTGTTAAGTTCCTTTTTTCCTCTTGTACTAAGACCTTGAAGACACAGAATTGCTTACTTACTGGTGCAGCCTCTGCAGGGGCAACGGAAGCAGATCCTCTAGCTTCCTCCCTTGAAACTGAGGTCGAGTCTCCTGGAGTTTCTTAAAGCGTCGGAATGACTTATTTTTCCTCAATTGCTCCTGTATGCAGCAGAAAAGGCAGATAGCTTTGAGGCTATAGAACGAAATATGTCCTCCAGTCCGCACCAGAGCTTGGAACTCTTAAAACTCTTAAACTTAGAGTTCAGGACTCCAGGCCTAAACACAAGCATCAACAACTTCTGTGGCCATGGGAAAGCAATTCCCTTTCTCTTGACGACCATTTCCAGTGGGTAATGGAAGCGATATTCACATATCCACAGCACTACAGAACCAGTATACTCAGCAAATGGAAATAAAGAAAAAAAGGAAGGTTGACTCAGATAGGAAAAGAAGGAGTCCACCTGTGGCTTGTTGCCACTCATTTCAAGACAAAGCAATGCAGCCCCATACTCCCATCACCTCAAGGCAAGTATCCAAAATGGCTTTTTTCTCTTAAGAAATCAAAAGTGTGAATATGTGCATGCAAACAGAACAGAAGGGAAACATCCCAGTACATCCTGCAGCTGGGAACAAGCATGGATAAAAACTGAAAGCCTAGTGGTTTAAATTCCAAATACAGTTGTCAGGACTTTGAAATAAAAATATATCCTTCTGAAATTTCTTGGAAGACAGGTTGTATATGGAGAGGTAAGCGGGAAGGAAAAATTTTTCTTCTACCATAGAAAAAAAATTGGGAAGGAAAAGAAAATCCCACTGTTAGGTTACAGCTAGTGGTAGTGCAAAAGACTAGGGGACCTCATAATTCTCCAGAAAGAGATCACTGTCCCCTAGCGTTCTCACTGCAAGCTCTCCTGGCTTGCCAGCCAAGGAGGAGTGGGAGTAAATACAGAACTCTGTTTGAGAAAGCTGTGCTCAGCATATGCACATACATACACAAACACCTGAAACAAGCTTCAAACATCTGAAGCTGTAAATAAGTAGAGAAATTTTCACCATTCTATTATGGAAGGCTGAGAAAATAGCAGCAGCCCAGAAAAAGGAAAACTGATCTCTCCAGAAACAGAAGAAAACGGGAAGGATGTAGCTGTTTCACAGAATGGAGAAAGAGCATGAAGAAAACAGGAAGAATAAAGGAGATCTTTACCTTCAAGGTTTTATTTGCCTGCTCCAAATTCTCAGCGTAGTGGCCATAAAGCTCAAAATTCTGACAGAAGTTTTCCAATCCTGGCCCCAAATTCCCTCTCTCCAGGTGAAGCGACAGAACACTGTGCACAAGGAGCAAAGATAGCTCGTGAGGAGTACATTACTGATGGCATTTCCACAGCTCCCTCTGGTTCGCTCCTATGCTGACCTTCCTTTGTCAGTCTCCACCTCATATCCAGTTTCTGTGCCAAATACATGCTTGGTGGTCACAGAGTAACCTACAGAAAACATCCTTTAAAAATACCGCAGGGCAGACTCACTGGGTTTAAACCACTACCCAGAGAGCAACTGGGCATCCAGATGCGTGGATACAGATCAGCAATGTCACAGGTAGAACTGCAAGTGCCACCATGGCTAGCAGTGCTAGAAGCGAATGCCTGTTTTACAAGGTGTTAGCTTTATTTCCCGAAATCTTACTTTCTCATCAATATAGGGTCCTCCCCATATAATTACAGGAACGACATCACTTACTGGCTGGCTGAATGTATGGATTCCAGGGGTCCAAATATGGTTTCCAACACAGCAGGTTTCAGCGTCCCTTTGGCCTTTAAGATTGTCACAAAGAACTAAGTAGGAAAAAAAGAAATCATTTCAAACAGGTAAAATTCACAGGTCACTCAAAGGTTATTCATAGCACAGAGCAGAAGCAAGAAGTTACAGCCTGCACGCTCTTTAGCTCAAAAGGATATCAAATATTGTGAATGCCTACCTAATATCTGTCATCAGATATAAGCCCTCCTGGTAACTTTGACCGTAACTGTAAGCACGTGGAACAGCACTACAGCACTGGCAGAGTCTATTTCAGTATTCCTAAAGCATCTGTTTTTCACCACCTTGTTCATAATCTGTCTTTGTCTTGCCTGTGTCACGTCGTTTCATGCATCTCAGCCATCTTAAGGCAAGTCCCCCATACAGTGGCATGACAACACAAATAAGTACGTGCTGCCTGAAGGTACCCAGATATCAGAAGGGGCCAAAATACTCACTGTGACCACCAAATCCAGCTGCTCAAGGTATTTGTGTTCAGTTTCCAGCAGCTCCTTGGCTGTTCGGCTGCGCTTTCTCTCCCAGCGAGCCCTCTGCTCTTCCACAGTGTTTGCTCCAGCCATAAACAGCAGGGACGAGTCACTCATGGCAGCCTTGGGGCTGATATACGAAAGGTAACTGATTGTGAAGAGCCAAGAGAGACGGACACACAACAGAAGAATAATTACGCCACAGGGTAGGATTCTGAGCTACAAACTCTACACTTTGCTATGAAAGAAGGGAAGTCAATCGCCAGCAACCGTTACTAACAGTTTACTTCTGCATTCCCACCCACGGGTACAGGAGCCCTGCATCAACTAGAGGAACAGTCTTAGAAAGACCAGACCATGAAATCAAAAGCAGTGCATTACGATACGTCTGTAAGCAAACCTCAACTGTACAATCCCACTCACAAACACTGCTTCCTGTGCTTTGCCCCACTGTTTGTGCAAAATTCTCAATAAACCCAGGGAAGTTAGTGGGTGTAAGAGATACTGCAGGCAGGAGTAGAAAAGAGCCATAATATTTGCCTTGGGAATGGGAGGCAGAGAAATAGGGCACCTTTTCCGGGTTTCTTTTTCTGCTTTCCCATGGAGGTTCCCAAGGAGCAAGTGGTTTGCATTGCCATTTTCTAACAGTAATTTGTGGTTTCAGAGATGAGCGAGACTGAGCAACTGCTGTGAATCACACTACCCACTTACTAACCAGCTTCACTGCTGCTCTTCCCTTCTGCAAGAGCATCATGGGCTTGTTGCAGAGAAAAAAGCTCCCTCAGAGAGAGAGAGGCGTGTGTTAGCATAGCACCGGTTAAATATTGCTCTGCCTTTTGATCAAAAGGCAGTACAGGCTGTTGCACGCTTGCCACAGCATGAAGCCTGAAGTTTCCCTGCAAGCTGAGCTACCTCCACAAAAGTTCTGGCTCCCACATGGACGAGCTATACTAATACAGAAAGATGTGTCGTTGCAGAGAAGGGAGTTTGTCAAACGCAGTCTTCCAGAGACATTTCAGATATCTAAGTCAATGTCTGAAACACAAGGTTCATTCACATCAAAGGAGTACCAAGACTCATTTAATGAGTTAGCAAACGTCCAGACAGCTGAGGGACATGCACAGTATCTGGCAGTAGCAAGAGCTTCTTCAGAGGTTTACCCTCACATTTGCTCATGACACAACCAGCAGCCCAGCTGAGGCCACGCCGTGGTCGAGCAGGGCAGACCTGGCACCCCTGCGGAGGGAGCGGCAGCGCGGCAGGGAACACCACGCAAGAGCTTAGCGTTGGCATGCAGCTGCAAAGTACCCACTAATAACAGGCCAAAACGTTACCATTTGCAGAGCGCCTTTAGCCAGGGTAGGTTGCAGTCATGATTTTCATTTTGCAGCCTGATTTCTTCTAACAAATAATAATTAAAAAAAAAAAAAACACCCAAAAAACAAAGAGACAAGAGAAGTTACACCAGGTTTTACCATCTCCCGCTCGCATAAAGTGGTGCAAACGCTCCCATCATTCCCAAAAGGTATCACGTTCTAACTGTCTGTAGGGTGAGAGTCGCCTGGAGCCCATGGGCAGACTGGAACATCCTTCACCTATGGGTGACAGACACACTCCAGCCTGCTTCGCTCGTCTTGGACCCAGAGCAGAAACCACCGAATGCTTTCTGCACGGTTAACTCCCTTATGGTGCCCGGTTAGCAATGCGCCCTGCAACATTCCTTATCTTCCCATGTTGAGTATCCTCAGAAAACCTCGCTTTGCTACGGCAGCCCAGCCGCTCCCCACGCCCCAGAGGCCTTAACGGCCCGGCAGGCCAGCTCCGGGGGCCGCAC